TTGCCAGTATAATTTATATCAAATATAAATAAAATAAATAAATAAAAATAAATAAAATAAAATAATTTATTTTTCTTCACAAAACTTAAATTAATTAGATAGTTGATTGGGGTCTCCATTTAAGCAAGTAATGCTTGTGTTTGGAAACCCCGCTCTTCCTTATCTAAACATACATTTTAATTCTAAAAACCAAAAATGACAAACCAATTACTCTATTTTAACAAACCAAAAATGACAAAAACTAATTTATTCTATTTTTACAACCAAAAATTACAAAAGTATATGTGTGCATGTATGCAAGTGTGTTTGTGTGAGTGTGTGTGTATGTGTGTGTACGTGCGTGTGAATTTGTGTGTGTGTGTATTTGTGTGTGTGTGTATGGGTGTGTGTGTGTGTGTGTATGTGTGTGTGTAGAGAAAGTATTATTATGTTATATATCGTAAAGAACAGTGAATTATGAAATGCGTTCCATCAGAAATTCAGTTTCGTCATATGTTTTCGACTGCACCCATTTTAGTATAAGGTTTTTACACTCCTTATACGTTTTGTCGTATATGTTTAATTTATTAAATTATATAGGAATGCACAACGGGAGCTAAATTGCCTACTAGCAAACACTGTTTTGAAACCAGAAGACACTATATAGGTAATATCATCATCATCATCATCATTACAGCCCTTCACAAGTCCACTGCTGAACATAGGCCTCCCCCAAAGAAAGCCACAAAACACGGTCCTGAGCCACCTGCATCCATCGACTTCCTGCATGTCTTACCAGGTCGTCACTCCATCTCGTGGGGGGACGCCCTACACTTCGCCTACCGGTACGAGGCTGCCACTCGAGAACCTTTCTTCCCCATCGGTTGTCGGTTCTTCGAGCTATATGGCCGGCCCACTGCCACTTCAGCTTACTAATCCGTTGGGCTATGTCGGTCACTCTGGTTCTACTGCGGATATCCTCATTCCTAAGTTTATCACGCAGAGAAACTCCGAGCATAGCCCTCTCCATAGCTCGCTGAGCGACCTTGAGCTTCCTCAGACGGCCAGCAGTGAAGGACCACGTCTCAGTTCCGTAAGTCATCACTGGCAACACGCACTGGTTGTACAATTTCGTTTTAAGGTTTTGAGGTATGTCTGACGAGAAGATGTGTCGTAGCTTCCCGAACGCTGCCCAGCCGAGTTGAATCCGTCGATTGACCTCTCGGTCGAAGTTGGACTTACCCAGTCGGACTATTTGTCCCAGGTAAACATACTCGTCAACAACTTCGAGCTTAGTGTTCCCAACAACTATCGGCATAGGTGTGACATGGACATTAAACATGATCTTAGTTTTGTCCATGTTCATCTTAAGACCTATCCGTTGGGAAACACTATTGAGGTCATTGAGCATAGTGCTTAGGTCCTCCAGCGATTCTGCCATAAGGACTATATCGTCGGCAAATCGAAGGTGAGTGATGTACTCGCCATTGATGTTGATACCGTATCCTTTCCAGTCCAGAAGCTTGAAAACGTCTTCCAATGCAGCGGTGAAGAGTTTCGGGGATATGACGTCACCCTGTCTTACACCTCTCTGCAATTGGATAGGTTTCGTACTCTGGTTCTGTACTCGGATAGCCATCGTAGCCCTACTGTACAAGCACTTCAACACTTCGATATACCGACAGTCAACTTGGCACCGCTGAAGGGACTGCAGCACCGCCCAAATTTCGACGGAATCAAAGGCTTTCTCATAGTCCACATACGCCAGACATAGTGGCAAATTGTACTCTTCGGACTTCTGTACAACTTGCCGAAGGGTATGTATGTGGTCTATGGTGCTAAAGCCCTTTCGGAAACCGGCTTGTTCGGGAGGCTGGAAGTCGTCAAGTCTGCGCGCGAGACGATTCGTAATGACTCTCGAAAACAGCACGTAGACGCGGCTCAGAAGGGAAATCGGTCTGTAGTTCTTCAAGAGAGCGTTGTCACCTTTCTTGAAGAACAAGACCACCGCACTTCTGCTCCACGCCTCCGGTGTAATGCCACCATGGAGGACGGAATTAAAGAGCTTCTGAAGGACTTCAAGTACCGGTCTTCCACCCGCTTTCAGAAGCTCCGCTGTAATTCCATCCTCGCCTGGGGCCTTACCGTTTTTAAGGTGCTGGAGAGCCATCCTAATCTCGCTCAGACTGACATCCGGGATATCTTCGGAATAGTGTCGGATGAGACTCGCTCTTGGATCGTTACTCACACTTGCGTGTGGCTCCAACGATGATGTGTACAGCTGCCCATAGAACCTCTCAATCTCACTCAAAATCTCAGGTGTCCCGGAAACGATGCTGCCACATTCTGTCTTCAGCTTTGACAGTTGGCTCTTTCTGGCAGACAGATCTCTGGTAAAGACTTTGGAGCCTTGGTTCCGCTCGATCGCTTCTTCAATACGAGCTGTATTGAAGTTGCGTAAGTCCCGCCGCATGCATTTGGAGATCTGTCTGTTCAGATGCCTGTATGCTGTCAAGTCTGTTGAAGAATGTAGCTTCATCTCCCGTCTAACAGCCATGAGATTAAGAGTGTGATCGGAGAGTTTTTGTGTTCTTCTGCGGCGGGTCTTGCAGAACTTAGCTCCGACCGCATGGACAGTTTCCACGAGCTTGTCATTCATATCGTCCACTTCATTGCAGTCTTCCAGGCACTGAAAACGGTTTTGTAACTCGAGCTGAAAGGTTTCGGGACTTTGGAACAGAGCACGAGAGGGACGGAGCGTTGACTTCATTAGACGAGACCTCTCCAACTTAACGTTTAGGTTCAGTGTGCCTCTAACCATTCGGTGATCGCTACCAGTTTTCACCCTCGCGATCACGGAGACATCACTGAACAGTTGTCGTCTGGTCGTCATAATGAAGTCAATCTCATTTTTTGTGGAACCGTCGGGGCTCGACCAGGTCCACTTCCTGTGGGGCCGCTTCTGGAAGAAAGAGTTCATCATAAAGAGTCCCTCTTTCTCCATGAAGTCGGCCAGCTGCTGGCCCCTTGGGTTCCGTTGCCCTATTCCAAATTTCCCTACCTTCAGCTCACCGTTCTCTCTTGTGCCTAGTTTTGCATTGAAGTCTCCCATTAACACCGTATATTGGGTTTTGGAGGAATGCATGGCTCTAGAGATATCCTCATACATTTCCTCCACCTCCTCATCGGGGTGTGCCGAGGTTGGTGCGTAAACCTGTATGACCTTCAGCGAATACCGTTTGGTGATTCTGAGTATAAGGTACGCAACCCTCGTCGACACACTCCCGATTTTTACAACGTTGTTAACGAGAGACTTGTGGACGATAAATCCGACACCTCCTTGGGACAGATGGTCGCCCTCCCGGTGATAGAGCAAGTTGCCGGATTCGAGGATTACCGTGTCCTCCCCCTCTCTTCGGACTTCAGATAATCCTATAATATGCCAGCGCAACTTGTCTATCTCTTCTTCCAGCTCCACGATCTTCTCGTCAGTCCTCAGGGTGCGTGCGTTGTACGTTGCCAGGTCGAGTCGTCTAAGGTGGCAACCGAACCTCCACCGGAGATTCTTAGCACCCCCTGCCCCGCCGTTACCATGGCCACCGTAGCCAGGAATAGCGGGGCCGCCGGGGACTGGGGGCCGTTTTTTTGTTGCTCTCATCATTGGGGGGTATTTGCCATAGTTGCCACGCTTGGCGAGCGGGTTGGCAACCGCAGTTTTTTTATTGTCATTTGGCTATTATCAGGAAGATGCTGCTGCCCATCTCCTGGCTGTTTCCCTTTGTCGCCTTTTACGACACCCACGGGAGGATATGGGGTAGTGGATATTCTTGACCGCCACTACACGGCATAGGTAATATACAAATATATTATTCTTAAATTACATTAAAACTTTTTCAACTATTTTATCCTACAATTAAATATACTAAACACTAAACAAAAACTATTTCAACGAGTATTTCAACAAGTATTTACAAAAAATTATTTACGTAAACAGCGTTAAAAAAACTTTAACATACAATCGTATTATAAATTATTATTATTATTATGTATAGAGCGCGCTAGCCCCGACTGCGATCTACCCCCGGGGCAGCTCGCGACTGTAGTTATTTCACGCAGGTAGCAAGCAAGAGTGACAGAGGCTTGACTTCACTGAGTCTGATAGAACAATACTTACATGGGGTTCGCGCGAGCGTGTTTTATAGTACTTATTTAACTAATTTTAAGTGCAGTTTTCGAAACATATAATAGCTATAATGGTGAATTACTGTTATAGTTATATGAGTTACTAAGTAAAGTTGAGCAGCTAGGCAAGAGACTATGTGGTACGTGGTAGAGCCATGCTGCAGCTATATTAGTAGTATAGTTGTAGCACGAATGGGTCGGCTCGACCAGGGAAGGACCACGCTCTCACAGAGTACATAGCTCTCATAGAGTGTAGGGAACCGGAGACCCTTTTACTGAAAATGAGGCATTCTATCTTAGTCCTCACGGGTGACAACGCATCTGCATTTTGATTTGTAATAGAGGATAGATGTAGATCGGTGATTCTTTGAAACGCAGTTTTGACATGATTTTCACTGAAGAACACATCAAAATAATATCCAATTAAAACGTCCATTTCAAGTTTAATTTTAAACAAAAATGTCTATCGAGGCCTTCTTATCTTGTCTTATGTATGTAAATGCAATTAATTAAAATAAACTTAATTTAAGTTAACAGAAAACATTAAAATCTAATTAATCTGGCGCGTCCAAATGACGCTTTTTGTTGAACTATACTATTTTCTGAAATTACTTTCCGCAATAGACTAAGATTAGTAAGTTGTATCGATATTTGAATATCTGTTTCTTAATGATTTCATATTTAAATCCAAAATAATTAAATATTCTCGAAATAACATAACATTAAAAATTGTCCGCGACTAAAGTAATCATTCATCTGGTTCAATACGTCGGAGCATGCATTTAACGTATGTCGCAAAATATTCCATTGAATTATACCGACTCGTGATTGTTCGCGCCAGTCACTCCCGACCTGTCATACGCTGCATTCGTGCCGCCGTTTATTATATCTAAAAACTACTATACAATCTCGTGATCTGGCATTTGTCAGGTTAGTAGTATAATTAACCAGTCTTTGTTTATAGATATTGTGCACATGCTTACGTTTTGTAACTAAAACATAATGTCTTATCAGATTATTTATCACTATTAATTACCTCTTTCATTTCTTACGATTATAAATACAGGAGTAGGATTTGATTTTCTTCAAATTCCTCATTTGACTAGCTCTCATTAGTTTGATTTCATCTGGCTCTTAAGACCAGATGAATTTGAACGGGTCAGATGAATTAGATTCAATCCACCTATCAATTGAATTGGTACAGAATTGTGATTTTGTGTTCCAGATTTTTTTGAATATCTTTAAGCTCTACATGTTATAGCCTATAAAGTAACGTCTACTACATTAAAAAGGTACGAATTGAGCTAAGTATTTGCATCCCACTTTCTTTTTTTCAGATCTGTATTTTAAAATGGCAAATTCAAAGAAACAGTCAAGAGAAGAAAGGCTTAGAAAAAAGAGGCTAGCAGAAAAAAAGAGATATGAAAGAATAAAAAATAATGATGCCTTATGGAAAGAAAAACAAGAGAAGAATAAGCAAAACTACATTCGTAGAAAGGAGGAAAATAAACAGCTACCAATAAACGAAATGAATCCTAGACAACAAAGGTTACAAAGAAAAAGATGGAGAAAGAATTACAAGTCATATTACTTAAGAAAAAAGCAAGCAAAAAGAACGGTTGCCATACTTGCTCAAAACACCCCACCACAAAGTCCCAGCGTTATGTCAGATACTGAACTGATAGCTTTACAAGAAAACTTTTGTGATCCGTCACCTTTAGAAAACCCTTTTTTATGCAGAGAACCGGAGTCGCCTATACCAGGACCATCTAGGATTTTGCGCAGTATGTCTCAACAGAGCAATGAATTATCTTCTCACTTAGGAATACGTACACCAAATAAATCTCCTTCATGTCCTTCACCTATAACTTCCGCCGTAAGATGCACAAGTTACATAAAAGATAAAGAGATAAATAATCTAAAAAAATAATAATAAATATGAAGCGACAAAATGAACGTTTTCGGAAACAACTGCATAGGCTAGTAAAGGCAAAAACAAAAGAAGGACCTTTAGCTTTAGATATGCCTAGTCAAAATAAAATAGTTCCTAAAATAAAACGCATAGTAAATAAGTCAGTAAGTAATGAAACACTGAATCATAATTTAAAATCTTTGCCTGAACTACTGATAAAAGAAGTCATAGGATTTTATGAAGATGATGAAAATAGTCGCCTATGCTCTGGGAAGAAGGAATTTATAGTAAGAAAAAAGATACGTAAACAAAAGCGGTACCTTAGCGATAGTCTTCTCAATTTGCATAAAAAGTTTCTCAAAACTTCATATTATACTATCAGCTATTCAGCATTCTGCAAACTAAGATCTTTCTGGGTGCTGCTTCCTGATTCCCGATCACGGGATACTTGTTTATGCAAATTGCATACCAATATGGATTTAATAGTGCAAGGATTGTATCAGAGGAAGATATTATCAGCTAAGACCTCCCAAGATCTCGTTTTACTATGTTGTGACGTGTATGATGTGGATTGTTTGCATTGAACGTGTTTAGCGTGCAAGAAAAAGGAAGTTTGTTATCAGGAATTTGATAATTCTATTGAAATTACGTACTGGCAGTGGGAAACTAAACAAGACATGATTCAGGGAACGGAAAGAAAAATAAGAACTACTGAAAAAATAAAAAAACTAGAAGAACCTAAGAAGTGTATCGAAAAATTGGAATCAACACTGAATGAGTATTTCATGCATTGTGGTAATATAGTTGCTCAACAAAAAGCTTTCAGAAACTTAAAAGAACGTCTTCAAGAGGGTGAGTGTATTATTCATATTGATTATAGCGAAAATTATGCAGTTAAGTGTACTGAAGAAATACAGTCCTACCATTTCGGTGGTAGTCGTATACAATTAACTTTACATACGTCGGTAATATATTTTCTGAATGATGAGAAGATAAAGCAAATACAATCTTTTTGTACGGTGAGTGAATGCCTGCGCCATGACATTTCAGCCGTATGGGCTCACATCATACCAATTCTCGAATATATAGGTGAACCAAAGACAGGCATTCACACTATACATTTTATTTCTGATTCCCCATCTAGTCAGTATCGTAACAAAAAGATATTTTATTTAATTTCATGCTTGCACATATACCTGAGCTCCATCAAAACCATTACGTGGAACTATAGTGAATCTGGTCATGGAAAGGGAGCCCCAGACGGAGTAGGTGCTGTTATGAAGAGAATTGCGGATCAAGCTGTCGCCCAAGGGCAAGACAAAGGGTCTAGATGATTTTTTAAATATTATGGACCAAAACTTAAATAAAGTGAAAGTGAGAACAGTTTCTGAATATGACATAAATGAAAATGACATGCTTTTCCCACCTAATGTGAAAGGTTTTCCAGGATGCATGAAAATGCATCAAATAGTATGGAACTTGGATTCTCCTATGGTAGCCGTTCGTAAACTGAGTTGTACTGATAAAAACTGTTTGTATCATGTTGTCAATTGCAGCCATACCTTGGTTTTTATCACTTGGAAGACGGATGTCAGAAATCTTTAACGGTCACACCCCTAGCTGATTCAAAAAGACAATTGAGAGAAATTGGTAAATCCTTTTGGACAATAAATAATGAAACAGATCTAAACGAAGAGAAAATTCGAAAAGCTAAACAAACCAAAGGTACACATAAAGAAAAGGGCACAAGTTCGTCACCACAGAAAGATAGAATCAAATATTTTACACCAAAGACTAATCAAAAAAATACTTTAACAGAATAAAAAGGAAGAAGGAAGGATAAAGAAGAACAAAATATCGAACCGGCAGAATATGTTGACTTCAATGATATCTCAGAGATAACTTTTTCAAGAGATGGTAATAAAGAATTTAGTATTGATTTAGAAAATGTTAATCCATACTTAATAGACACTGATGACGATGACGATTTGAATATTTTTTTAAAATGTATTTAGGTACATTAAGTTTTCTACGATCTCATCATTGAAGTTCCTATCCAAAATTAAGTCTGAAAGATGATTATAATTATGTTTTTATTTTAATGTTGTGTTATAACTTATAAGAGTTATTTTGTAAAGATTTAGTTAATAACGGATTTTTTATAATTTGTCTCATTGCATGGCATTCCTATTAGGCGGATTGCAAGCTAGTACTAGTACAAGTAGAACTAAAAAAATTATAAACAAAACTGCTTATTGCCCTTCTTCGTCGCTATAAAATACTTTAGATTCAGTGCTTCAATCATTGCAGTGAAGTGAGGCGCGCCCTATTTTAATTCTAAAACTGTGAGCCGGTAGCCGTTGACAAACTTCCTGCTGAGTCACTATACTTTAGTAAAGATTTTTTTTTTGGTGTTCTGTGGTAAATTCGCCAAATATAAGATATGCAATCGGATGGACAAAACAAAACTCGTTTCATAAAAAAGCTTTTCTGTGAGTACAGAAAAGCTTCTTTATGAAAATTACCATTGAACATTAAAATTTAAAATCGATAGTTCAAAATGCGTGGTAAACTGGTAAAATTTAGCATAGTTATAAAACCCAAATACAGACGTTAGGTTGAATTTCCTAATTTCGATTGAATGGGTTAGTTTTTGGGAGTTAAAAGTAAAATGAAAGATATTTTTTTTTTAATTCGATCGTGTAGGATAGAAATAATTTAAAATTAAAAATTTTGTTCAGCCGACTTCAATATAAGTTATTAAGAATAACTCAAATAACTCAAAAACTATTGGTCTTACCTTGATCAAATTCATATGGGACGACACGAGAAGTATCAGCTTTCATATAAAAAAAGAATCATCGAAATCGGTCCACCCAGTAAAAAGTTATGAGGTTAACACACATAAGAAAAAAAAACATACGCGTCGAATTGAGTACCGTCTCCTTTTTGGAAGTCGGCAGATAAAAAGCTCTTTGAAGCACTATTATAAAAATGTATTTTTATGTTTCAAGATTGTTCCGAAATAAACCTTCAAAGCTTGTGCCCCCCACCGTCTACATCTACATCTATCCTCCATAAAAAATTAAAATGATGCGGTGTCACCCTCTGAGGAGATGGAGTGCCTCATTACCAGTAAAAAGAGTCTCCGGTTGACTAACTACGAAACACAACAGCAGCTGGTATTTTGTGACAGCGCTATTCCATTCGTACTGCAGCCACATTATAGATGCATATCCCTACCACGTAAAACTTTTAAAATTGATGCAGAGCATCGGGTGGATAAAAACTTCATTCATTGTAATTTTTTTCATTCTTAGACCACAAACTCACTGTCATACTTGGTTTAAATAAATAAACAGCCCACCTATAGACATAAGCTCTTTGTATAAAACACATTTAAAAGCTAGTTCACAATAAATAATGAATCATGAAAAAATTATAGTTCATATTAAATTTTTACTGTTTTCGTTACTGTTGTGTTCATTGTTAGGCCACAAACTCTCTGTTCTTGTTAACTAAAGTTTAAAAATAAATAAACAGCCCACCTATGGACATACAAGCTCTTCCTTGTAACGTATATGATTTAAAACACATTTACTGAGATAGCAGCTTAACTGACGCCATCGATGAAGCAATAAGTACCGGTGTAGGTAAGTACGGCCGCGGCCCTGCAGTAAGCTTAAAAATTGAATACTCCATTTAAAAAGGTACTTGGACTTCGGTGACCTTAATTCTTTGTAGCCAAAGCAAAGAGAACTGGCGCTGTGATTCGCCTGATGTACTTACTATTGAGGCCCTTGAAATAACGTCACACCATGACGCAAGTGTTTTTGTCAAACATAGCACGAAGTTTTCGTAAGAAACTTTATTTCATATACAATATAGTATAGTAATATATATAGTACAGTAATATGTATAATATGGTAAGGCATTGATAAGTAGGCTTCGTCTGAGTAGATTAGCACATTTCAATTTAAGGTAGGTAATTAAAGATCATTTATTTTATACATTTTTTTTAAAATGTCTAAGTTGTTCTGTTAAAATATAGCCGAGGTCACATCTTTCAATGCTTTCTGTCTATTTTTGAAATTGGATTACAATCGGTTCAGCCATTTCGAAGATAGAGTTAAACCGTGTGTGGTTTCTGCTGGAGGGCTAAAATTTTTATTTTTTGTGTATCAATTTTTATAACATTTTAACAAATTAATAAAATGGCATTACCCATAGGCGCCTTTTACGACACCCGTGGGACGTAATGGGGCGATTGATTATTTTGCGCCATCACAACACGGCAGTCGTCAGTTACTTAGCATAAATACTTTAAGCTCGGTCCCTTTCCCTACACGACAATTAAACTTTGCGCAGAACGCGACTGCTAAAGTAACTAAATTATTATGTTATACTTGCTGTTCCCCGCGACTTCGCTCGCGTGTTAGGGTTTTTATGTTTTTGCGCGGAACCCTAATTATTTTTCTAAAATGAAAGTAGCTTAAGTTACTCCTTATGAAATCAGCTATCTGCCAGTGAAAGTCCCGTCAAAATCGGTGCAGCCGTTTCGGAGATTAGCGGGAACAAACAGACAAACAGACAGACAGACAAAAATTTTAAAAATTGTATTTTAGTTATAAGTACCGTATTTACTTTGATATGCATTTAGTAAAAAACTGTAATTTTGACATTACAAACAGACACTTCAATTTTATTTATTTGGATAGACTAGCGACACGCGCCTTTATTTGATTAATTTTTCGATTTCCGAATTTAAGTGTTTGAATTAACGAATTATTGTTGTGTATAGCTCATATATAGCTTTTCTGTAAGAGCTACCACAGCTCATTAAACGTACGATGCAATGTACCACAAAGTGACTATCGTTTAGATTTTTGATGTCAGCTAAGTTAGCGAACAGAACGGCTGGTGTCATCATTAGTTCATTAGTACTATTGCAATTAAAAAAATATAGTTAAAAATGATGAAAAATATGTCAAATACACAAAAATTCTAACATGATATACTAAAAATCGCAGATTTTAAAATTTGAATACTTTCTAATTAATTTAAAAAAACTTTTATTCAATTCAGACTGTACATGCAATAAAAAGAAATAATAGATATCTTAAGAAAAACAATTGTTCAGGCTCAGGTTGAATTTAATTAGTGTTAAATAAGATTATCAATAGTACCTCATCAAATACAAAAGTTGCTGCAGTAAGTATAGATTTTGAGTGCGTTAGAGAGTTTGCCTTCTGTAGGGTTTTTACCTCATGTGATTTAATCGCATAAATAAAACAACAAATGATTGAAAGCATTATATTAATGGGTCACTTAAATACCTAATAACATCAACATTGTTCTGACATACACATGTAACAAACACAATAAATTGTATAACTTGATATATGAATTCTTTCACAAAGTCTTATAATCTGTATAATAATAAAAATGAATCACTTTATTATATAAAGTGATTCATTTAAAATAAAACATATTTAATCTTAATTTACATACCATATACAACAGCATAGAAATGGCGCGAAAGTATTTTCATACAGTGATATTAAATTTTAATTTATTTTAAATATAACTGATATAACATGTAGTATAGCTTTATTTACAAAGAAAATTAAGAATGACAAAGTAGAAAAACTATAACAATATTTAATGTTACTACACACGATTGTAGCTTGCTTCTTTAAATAAGTAGATAGAATAGGGTTGCCACCGGTGCTCTAAAATTGACTATTGAATGAGGGCACCCACGACTTTTTCTGCCACCTGGGCGGCGCCACTAGAAAGTGAGGTATAATATTCGACAGATTTCATAGTAGGGAAGTTGATTTGTTCGAAAAATGTAAAAGTTATTGTTTCTTTTTGTATATTTTATATTTATTTATTTCATATTAATAGCATTAAAAATAAATAAACCAAACCACAAAAATTCATAAAAGTAGAAAAAAAATAATTAAATAAAGTGCAAAAAATTAAAGAGCAAACCACTGACGCATTGTTTTGTGTATTAATATAATACTCTAAAAACTGATTTACATTGTGTAACAAAAAACTTTACCTCAGTGTCAACTAGCGACATCTAGTGAGCAGAAAATTATTAGCCCTCATTAGAAGTGATCGTAATGCATCGTAAAGTAAATAATCAATAATCATACTTACTTATTAAAATATTATTAAATTTAAAAGAAATTACATCCCTTAACGCAGATGATATTGACATTTGAAAATATTCATAATGATTCGGATTGGTTAAATAGATAAATTTGTCAATTATGTTTGCTAAGAATTTAATTTAAGACATGCAGCTTCCATGTTAAAAAGTTAATATCACTGTATTCCATATAAATAAAGTATTGCCAAGATGTAAATAAAATTATATAGAAGATTTAATTTACCAGTGTTGCCGTAATTGCATGGTAACGTAATTGGTGGAATTTGGCGCTGTTTTTTAAAGCTAGAAATAACAAGAACTAGACTAGATCATTTGAGTCAAAGCGAGACTTTAGATAAATTATATCTCAGCGCCATTTTGAAAATTTTGTTAACTTGGTTAACGTGTAAATCATTAAGCAAGCGACTAGACAAAGTTATTAAAAATGTAATTCTGTCAGTACAAACTTTATAAGTTGTTTGCATGTATTTCTTGTATGGAGCAGCAATGTATGAAGTCTTAAAAACTGGGTCATTCGGGTCGGTCATTCGGGTCGGTCATTCGGGTCGATCATTCAAATCGATCATTGTGAGTTTCAATACTCTGTGATCAGTGACTCGATAATGTAATGTCGATCGTCGTACATTACTATACT